GAGCCTCCTAGAAAGTCTTACCGACGAGTCCACTAGTAGGCCCAGGACGAAACGCATCCCTTCTTTGCTACCTATCATAACTGCCTGATAGCTATTAGAATGCCAATCGGCAGCACTGTAGGAACCACAAGACAAGGCTACTCTTAATCATAACCCCATGGGGAGAGGGGGCCACATGTCGAATTTTTGGAACAAATTTTGACAGATGCACAGTCATCCCTTAGTTCTAGACGAATTTAAAAATAAAATTAATATAATCTTGAGTATTTCTTCTCCAATCCTTTCCACGTCATTTTTAGTTCCTAGATTATGTGTATAGCGATCTATGAAATGCGAGATTAATAAATAAATTCCTTTACGAGCTCGCGATGTAGACCTCGAAGCTTTCCCTGTATTTTTCTAAGACAGGTAATACCACTTATGATAAAATGAACGATGAAAATCGCGTGTGTTACGTTTTAATGTTTATAGTTACTCGTGTGCAGTTGCTTCTGATTTAGTTGTTGCCTCATATTCGTTACTTAAGCTCCAAGGTATTAAAACAAACGGTGACTTAGAGTCACTCGAGTGCAAAGGGTTAACATCGATACGCGTTAGATGGTATCGGAAGACGGAAAACGAAACGAAAAACGGCAAGGGAGAAAACGATACACCACACACACACACCAATCACACACACCCGCATCATAATCGTAGAATAAAGCGTAATTACAACCACAATCTGCGCTTTATTACCACCTAAGTGCTCAGTGTCTCGCAAGGGATTCAGCACATTGAGGAAAAGGGGCATCACAAGTATACCTTACGCTGCCCCCTTCGCGTGGAGCTCATCCACATCCACGCAAGCACATTGAGAAAAAGGGGCATCACAAGTATACCTTACGCTGCCCCCTTCGCGTGGAGCTCATCCACATCCACGCGGTGCAACATAACCTATCGTCTCCAAATTTTTCTCCAAATATTCCCGAAATACTGTGCTTTACGATATGTAAGCATGTCATTTGTTTTCAATCGTTGTGACATATCCGGAGCTGTCCTAACCTATCAAAAATCGGCACGAGCTCGTCGGACAACCCGATAGAAACGCGCGATAGTGGCGCGCTCTCGCGGCCGTATCGACGGTATTAGAATAGACGGTTAATTTTCGTTGGAATTAACTTTTGCAGTTTATCGAACGCTTCTCCAGTGAAATTGGATAAGCCACTGTGTGACGCACGCCAGTTCCCTTGAACTATCGCTTTATTTTTTGTACGCTCGGGGCTTTTTACCTTCGACCTTGTTTTTATTCACACCGCACCTACGTACTTCTTTTGTAGATCGGTTTTTAGATCTTTGTACCCCTTCCTAGCAGCTTTTTAAGAGTTGCTTTTCTTCCCCCCTGGTTTTTCCTCTCTTTCCGCTGCGTTTATTCGTTATCGAAATTCGCCATTTTTTATTTTCTTTCCTCTCAATTCCCGAACTATTTTATTCTCGCTTTTTTTATCTTTTATTTATTTATTTATTTTCTTTTGTTGTTCTTTATTCTCCTCGAACCCTGTTTTTTATTTCTCTTTTCTCGAAACTTTCTTATTTATCGTCTTTCAATCTCTTTTCTCGAGGGTTCGTATACTTATTTCTTCTCTTTCAGCACTCATGCACTGACTAACTTCGTCTTCCTTTACCGGGTCGAGGGGGGCTCGAAATCTTTAAACTTTGAAAGAAATTTAAGGGTAACGCCAGACCAAAGGGTAAACGACGAATTTCAAATTGATAATTTTAATCGCTCTTTTATTTCGCGGAAATTAATAATTATAATAATTTCGAATTGTAACCGAGTGTAAATTTTAGAATTCGAGAAAATAATTTTTGAGTAGACCACTAGGGGGTACCCAGGGGATCGGAGTCTCGAACCGGGGTCCGTGGATCGAAGATTATTTAATTAATAATTAATAAAAATTCTAAAAAATTAGTCTAGAACGTGATAAATATTTCACACACTCGAGTTCTTCTTGACACGAATTTTCCCCTTAAACGTAATCAATCTTCCGCCATTTCGCGGAAAATTTCAAAGGTTGTAGCCACCTTTGCCCTACACTGCGACTTCGTGGAAAGTAGTGGACCGAGAGGACAGTTAACGAGCTGATGCAGTTTAATGGGCGAGGGTTACATCGAGATCCCATAATCCCAAACGTAATCCTGCCCCACGCTGTTCGTGTCCAGAGAAGCTGACCTTTGAGGGTCTAAATATCCTGCCGACTAAACAGTATTATCCACGCGGCAAATTGCCCTTTCCCTTTTTCGTTACATACTTCGTTGCCCAAAATGTCTCTGTCGTCGACTTATCACTATAAAATAGGAGATACTGAACATATCGAAGAATTAATCCCCGATTTGGATGAAATTTTACAATACTGTACTACGTCGCTAAATCACCAGTGTCAATCGATTCTTGTATTCACAAAAATTCCCCAAAAAGGGGTAATAACAACCCCTTCTTACTGGACCAACTCCAGCCACCAAACAGCAATTTTCTACACCCTGAAGATCGATTTTACTCGGTTGCAGATCGAACGGGCTCGTCTGGTGGAAAATTGAATCGAAGTCGGTAAACACCGAGTCCCGGAGGACACAATAGAGAAAGAGGAGGAAGAGGGGGTTGGAAAAAGAGCAAAGGGGGTAAGAAACAGGCGGGTGGAATGAATGCCAGGCTATCGAGAAGCTGGACAAGTGTAAAAGCGAAGAATTCGCCGTGGTTTCGATCAGCGTCGAACCAAAGGGGTGCAACCCCCTCGTTTATTCACTTTCCCCGCTTTATTGGATTCCAATATTGGCCGCTGCTTATTCCCCATTTATAATTTCCATGGTTAGGTAGCGGTGACATCGGGTCGATGAAGGGCTTCCACGTGCCCTTTGCCCCACTCCCATGAATATATTTCCACGACCTGCGTAAGATTTCCCTTTACCGGTCACGGTTAAGTGAACGGTCCTTTAATAGACTCGGCCGAGATTACACTTAGCTTCGATGCGTCGCTTAGGTGAGTGAGATACGTTATCTAGGAGATGATACAGGTTTTCCGTTTCGAGGTGAGACAGGTTGCTAAGGTTATTGGGATTTGTCTGGTTGAATTTTAGTTTACGTTTGACGATGGGGATGTATCGTAGATGAAGATGAAGATTAGCGAGTAGAGGATTTCTTCAGATAATTTTATCAGATAATATTGGTTATGCGCTTTGAAATGAATGAAGTCGTTGAAGTCGTTGGGACTTTTGTGGGAGAATTTTAGATTTGTCGGATCTAATGAAGATGATGAGACAAAGGGAGCAGTGAGTGTATTTTGGACCAGTGTACCTTGTTAGATAATTATAGATTTTTGCTTTGAGATTTTTGAGGGAAGATTATTAAGGTATTTAGATACTTCAGATTCAATGCAGGTAATAAAGAAGGGAGATTAGTAGGTGTATTTTGGAATAATGTATCTCATTAGATAATACAGATTTTTTGGTTTCAGATAATTAGTTAAGATTTTTGAGATCTTTCTGGGAGAATTTTAGATTTTGCGAGTTTGATGAAAATGGTAAGAAAGAAGAATTAATAAGTTAATTTGGACCCAACTTATCTTACTAAATAATGTAGATTTTTGGATTTCAGATAATTGGTCAAGATTCTTGAAATTTTTCTGGGAGAAATTTACACTCATTTATCTTACTAAATAATATAGAATTTTGGGTTTGAGATAATTGATCAAGATTCTTGAGATTTTTCTGGGAGAAATTTACACTCTCCAATCTCGATAAAAATTATAAGGAAGAAGAATTAATAAGTATATGTTGACCCAACCTATTTTACTAAATAATATAGATTTTTGGGTTTCAGATAATTGGTCAAGATTCTTGACAACTTACACTTTCCAATGTTGATAAAAATAATAAGAAAGAAGAATTAATAAGTGTATATTGACCCAACCTATCTTACTAAATAATAGAGATTTTTGGATTTCAGATAATTGGTCAAGATTCTTGAAATTTTTCTGGGAGAAATTTACACTCTCCAATCTCAATAAAAATTATAAAGAAGAAGAATTAATAAGTATATCTTGACCCAACCTATTTTACTAAATAATATAAATTTTTGGCTTTCAGATAATTGGTCAAGATTCTTGAGATTTTTCTGAGAGAAATTTACACTTTCCAATCTTGATAAAAGTAATAAGTATATCTTGACCCAACCTATTTTACTAAATAATATAGATTTTGGGGTTTCAGATAATTGATCAAGATTTTTGACAATTTAAATTTTCCAATCTTGATAAAAATAATAAGAAAGAAGAATTAATAAGTGTATATTGACCTAACCTATCTTACTAAATAATATAGATCTTTGGGTTTCAGAAAATTGATCAAGATTCTTGAGATTTTTCCGGAAGAATTTTACATTTTTAGAGCTTGATGAAATGATAAGAGGGTTTGATAAGTGTATTTTGACCTATTGCGTCTGACTATGGATGACTGAATCTCCTGACGAATGTACGCGGTATGTGGATTCAACTTCTTTTGATCCCCGATGCATATGCAATATTGAATTGGAGTGCTCTGCACGACGAATAACGTATAGCGAACCACGTGTGTCAACACGAAACTAAAATTTTTAGATCTACCCTCGAGTGCTTTCTAAAAAACAGAAACCCTTATCTATATCCATCTCTGGTAAACTTTCAATATAAAAAAGCTCTTTTAATGGCGAATCTAAAATTTTCCTAACCTATTATTACGTCTAAACTAATAACCAAAGCTGCACATAAACAATAATTAAAATACCATGATAGAAATAATCATTTATTACCCCCAATCTCGACAAAACTCGAAACTGACCACGTTTCAATTATCGCGAATAATTTAACAATTTTAATATCAATAAATCTACTCCTTTATATTTCATCCAGATAATCACACGGTATACAATTTCCCGATAATTAATTCCCAGTTTAAAAACCAATTCATCCCATAAAAGTAACAATGCTCACCGATATTTGGATGCTGCAACTTCCTGCATATCCGTGCCTCGCGTTCGAGCTTCTGAAAATCTGAAACAAAGAAACAACGTGATTAATAAGCCACCGTGAAACCATTCAAAAATGATCGATTTGAGAATGAAACGATAATTCCGGTTGTAAAAGTAGTCGAATTTAGTCACTTGGCGCGTGCCATAATTAATAATAAGGGTGGAGGAATATTAACCCTCTGCACTCGACGATTTTTTGGCTAAAGAAGAGTAGAAATTCAAAGATTCTCTACTGAAAAACTGACAATACTTTTCAGAGCAGTAAATAAAGAATTGTATAATAATAGAATCGTAGAATTATTTAATTTCGATACCTCGCACACTGTTAGATTACATTAAATTTGACGTGAATGAATATAGATCTTCGAAATTTTATCAAATGGCGACTGAAGGGTGCCTCTCAAGTGCAAAGGGTTAACGTCCTAACGCGACGAGGAATAGCGTAAGAGTATGTAAGAGTATGCGAGCTCCGGTTATCAATAAGGCAGCGTGAGAGATAAGCACGTAGCAGTGATAACTGGAGTCTCAAAACGAAACGGCGATCCGCTTGATCTTCGCGGTGGATTAACAAAGGAGGCCCACATTTAACACGTTAAGTGCCCGGCCCGATTTGCTTGCCGTTCCGTTCAGGCCCAGATTCTGCCGTCAAGTGGACCACCGGCTGGGGGCGAAGTGTTCATAAAATTCGAAGATACTGTACCAATTGTTATAACAGGAATTTCCAAACGTTAGGTTCAAAGATGGCGAAGAATTTAACACCAAAAGTTAGCACCTTTTGGTCCTAGTCTAGTGCCGCTCCCTGGGGACCGGTGTGGCACTTAACGTGTTGATAGTCATTCAAAACTACCAACCCTCGTTTCTGCGATTTTCGTTCATAGCGACGCTAACAATAAGGACATAAAACAGTCTATCGCTTAACTTGGGACGTGGGGATCCTAGGACCGCAACAGGGAGCGCATAATTGTGTTTCTTGGCCTTAGCAACGCATTTACATGGGACTAATTTATGCGTTCCTCAGCCCTATCGGTTGTTTTCGTTCAACGCATATATACGTAGGTCCAAAGATGGCGGAGAATTTAGCACCAAGAGTTAGCACCTTTCGGTCCCAGTCTGGGATCTAGTCTGGGACCGGGCCCGAACGAAAAGTCTAACGCTGGTCTCTGGGGATCGGCGTGACACTTAACGTGTTAGCCAAGTCCTCTCTCCTCCTCCTCTTACAATAGCAACTGACTGAGGCAAAAGATCGACGATAATGGATCACTGTTGTTTACATTGGACCCATTGGTAGAAACCATGCTTCTCATCCACGAATCTCGTGTTTCCCTCATTTCCATACCTCGAGTTTTCACGATGTTGCGCGAATTGGTTAACACCATGGAAGGTAAGAGGGAAGAAATTATCGGTCTGACCATCGAACCACCAGCCTGGCGAATTCCGCGTGACGACTGAGCATTCCGGAACAGATCCCGGCTAGCTTTATCGCGAAAGTTTCGTCGTAACGACAACCAATGCCGGGTATAGTCATTACCGCGAAATCGAATTTCCCAACGAGCTCCCCTGACGAGTTTCCTCGTGGGTAATTCACCAAGGACCACGATAAAATTGGATTTGTCGGTGGCCAAGTCATTTCGAGCACGATTTCCTGTTTCCTTTCTGTTCTCCGCTCACCTGAACGGCCCTCCTTCGAGGATCGACGATTCCGTACCTATTATCCGCCTCGTTCTGTGTTCCCTGTAAATACCGCACGTTCCTTCTCCGATTGCTCTTTTTAACGGACGAGTGGGTGTTCTTTTATTTCTCTCGTGTGTTTTGCAGAGTTAGCGCTGGAATTATTGAATTATTGTTACGGATGATGGTATGATAGTATTGGTACTGTGATGGGAAAAATAATAGAAGGTGTAGAGGAACTGCAGACTGTAAAGCTTCCAATATTTTCTATGGGGAGAATATTTATTTGACATATATTTTAACAAATATTTTAACATATATTTTAACATATATCTGTGTGACGTTTTTGATTTTGTTTGAGGGCATTGGAGAATTATAGAAATCCCAAGATTTCTTTTGTAAGAATTCGTAATTGGAAAATTGGAAAATTGGAAAGTATTAGTAGGAAATTTTAGTATTCTGCGATTCCCTAAAATTCTGAAATAGACAAAACGGTATCATATACGTATATCCTATAGTTTTGTCTATTTCAGAATTTTAGAGAATTGTAGAATATTAAAATTTCCTACTAATACTAATATAGTGTTCCTATTTCTTACTAATACCAATATGCAATATTAAAATAATTTTACCGTTCGTTCACAATCCAAGTCTCGATGACGATAAAAATAACAGAATTAAGTGAACTATCTTTCCAACTTAATTACTTAATATACTTAGGGCAGCGTTTCTATGCATCAGAGTAGCTATACATGCCCATCCTGTCACTTGAACACCTACAGACCTCCTTATTTCTCAAAAATAACAGAATTCAGTGAACTATCTTTCCAACTTAACAATTTAATATACTTAGGGCAGCGTTTCTATGCATCAGAGTAGCTATATAGATCCTTTCTGCCACTCGATCACTTCTCCCTACTTCTCAAAATAATCATCTATTCACCACCCAAACCTCGATGACGATAGAAATAACAGAATTCGGTGAATTATCTCTCCAATTTAATTATTTAATATACTTAGGGCAGCGTTTCTATGCATCACAGTAGCTATATAGATTCTTTCTGCCACTCGATCAGTTGAAGGCCTCCCTACTTCTCAAAATAATCATCTATTCACTACCCAAACTTCGATGACGATAGAAATAACAGAATTCGGTGAACTATCTCTCCAACTTAATTATTTAATATACTTAGGGCAGCGTTTCTATGCATCAGAGTAACTATACAGGCCTATCCTGTCACTCGAACACTTACAGACCTCCTTATTTCTCAAAAATAACAGAATTGAGTGAACTATCTTTCCAACTTAACAATTTAATATACTTAGGGCAGCGTTTCTATGCATCAGAGTAGCTATATAGATCCTTTCTGCCACTCGATCACTTCTCCCTACTTCTCAAAATAATCATCTATTCACCACCCAAACCTCGATGACGATAGAAATAACAGAATTCGGTGAATTATCTCTCCAATTTAATTATTTAATATACTTAGGGCAGCGTTTCTATGCATCACAGTAGCTATATAGATTCTTTCTGCCACTCGATCAGTTGAAGGCCTCCCTACTTCTCAAAATAATCATCTATTCACTACCCAAACTTCGATGACGATAGAAATAACAGAATTCGGTGAACTATCTCTCCAACTTAATTACTTAATATACTCAGGGCAGTGTTTCTATGCATCAGAGTAGCTATACATGCCCATCCTGTCACTTGAACACCTACAGACCTCCTTATTTCTCAAAAATAACAGAATTGAGTGAACTATCTTTCCAACTTAACAATTTAATATACTTAGGGCAGCGTTTCTATGCATCACAGTAGCTATATAGATCCTTTCTGCCACTCGATCACTCAAATACCTCCCTATTTTTCAAAATAATCGTCCATTCACAACCCAAACCACGATGAAAATAAAAATAACGGAATTCGGTGAACTATCTCTCCAACTTAAGAATTTAATACGCTTAAGAGAGCGTTTCGAAGCACCAGGGTAGCCAAATCCGTTGTTCCAGACACGCCGAGCGTAACGCTGCTCGTTTGGCTTCGAAAAATCGGACACGAGCTTCCCTCTCTTGCCCTTTTCCGTTTTCTCACCTGTAATTAAATCTCCACCGACGACGGGTCTCGACGGTCTTCATTCGTATCCGCGCTAAACAACCAGAATTAACGAGCAACTACCGACAAGCGAGAAGGGCCCGCGAAGAACACTGGAGCCGCACGAGGAGAAGCAAATTGGAGGACAGGGCACTTGGGGGAGAAAAAAGAGGAGAGAGGAAAAAAAAATGGCGGAAAACTGGGTTATTCGACGATGTCGTTTCCCTTCTCCAACGTTGCGGAGGACCTCACGCTGCGGCTGAAAAATGTCTCGCGAATTTGGGGCGATCCGGCGGTCGTTGAACCGCGAAATTAAGCTGGAAACGTCTATTTCGCGGATTAGCACGTTCGCGCATTCCTCGGATCTCAGTCGACGTGTATTTTCAGGGCACGAGCGAGAATGGAGACACGACGGGGGTGGCACGAGGGATGAATGACGATTGGAAGCCTCGCGAACGTTTGCGAAAGTAGTTTTGCCATTAAGTTTTGCGGGAACCCCAGATTTTGCGAGTACGTAATTTCTGAATAAAGAAATGAATTTTGTTGATATAGAGGAACATGATTTTTATCTTTATTATTTTTCTGTTATCACGGGTGATAATTAGCTACCATTTGCGAGAAAATAATTCTTTGCTGGTTCTATGATAATTAAGTAATTGGAGATAATCGAAGTGGTCGTGTTATCTGGTATAGACTGTATAATATAGGGTAGTGAGAGGAAGATTGGAAATGAATTAAGTATATATTTCTATAAGATGAAATTTGAATGAAGGTAGAGTATTATATGTAAAAATGGAATAAGTAATATGTAGATTGGTTAATGAAAAGTAGTTTCATAGTGGACGTTCTAATAAAAATGAATAACATTATTAATAAATATATTTTATTATACAATGATTAGATTAAAGTATATTTAATGAAACCAGAATATTTATTTTAAATGATTATGGTATTTTATTACTAATATTTATTATATTATAAATAAATATATTTTATTATACAATTATTACGTTAAAGTATATTTAAAGGAATCAGATTATTTATTTTCAATGATTATGGTATTTTATTACTAATATTTATTATATTATAAATAAATATATTTTTTATATTACAATATTTATATTATATTATGATATTATGTATTTCTACTTATTATAATTGTTATATATTATAAGAATAATAAAATATATGAGATATAATATATAATATTATACAGTGCAGGAAAATTAAATAATATCACTATATTGATGCATATT